TCTTTTCTTGTGGCGGGGAAAGGCTCCAGCAGCTAGGAGGCAATCGGTCACAACACAGCTAAAAACAGAAGTGTAGAGGGAACAGCACGGCTTGAGCAAAGAGAGCTGAGTACATACCCATGTCCTTTAAGCATGTCTATACTCTACTCACCTAAATGCCGCACTGTCTGCACTGCTATTTAAACCCATGCTAGCGGGGCTATTCGAGGACACACGCTACATGCCGCTGAAAGAATCATGCAGTGTAGACCATAGCCTTACACATGAGGCACAGAGAAGCTAAGTAACGTGCCCAAGGTCACAGAGGAAGTCTGTAGAAGAACTGAAAATTGAACCCAGTTCAATTGGACCTCTGAGTCTGAGTCCATTTCTTTAACCACCAGGCTAACCTTGTGCTCTATTGCCTGTTGCATTTCCATTTGCCTGCATTTTGATTGACATCTTGGTCATTTTTCTCCAACTTTACCTTTTTGGCCAGGCTGGAGTTTTCCTCTTCTGAGGGACTCAAAATCTTCTGCACATGGAGAAAATGAATAGCGAGCCCTGCATATTATTAAATGCATTTTCAGTGTCGGCCTCACAGTTTGATCACAGTAGCCTCAGAAGGCTCATAAACCCAGTAATACATAGTTTCAAGTCTGCATCAAAGAAGTTCACAACCCCGTTGGGAGAAGCGCGGAGTATTGATGAAAGAGGGAACTTATTGTATATGTAAGAAAACTCTTTTCATGGCTTATATATTAAGCCAGGCTCCATGGGTTGGGGTAGATTGGGGCTGCTTTTAATTTACATTCCCCCTTGCTTATATTAAGTCTTCATCAGAAGAAAAATTAGTCAGATGTTTTCTTAATGACATCACTTTTTTTTAAACCCGTTTCATTTTTTCCAGATGAGGCGGTGGAGATTGTTAGAAATGATGTGAAACTAAATCTGGAACAGAGACTTTGATTCACTTCTCTTCCCCACCCCTCTTTCGCCCCCCGAAATAAATTGGTAGATTTCATACACAGTTGACTTATTAGCAGCAACCTCCACTGCTACACAAATCTTAGCTCAAGCTTGGCTGAGCCTTGCAGGCGTGCTGCTATTGTAGATGATGTCATGGCTGAAATACAGAGGATGTTAACCAGCCACAGTACACTGTGCTATGTACACAGGCCACGCAGTTTGGAACAAGGCAGTTTTGTAAAGTGACTAAGTCACCTACATAATTTTGGTAACAAAATGACCCAGTAACAGGTTATGAGGTTGAAATCACTATGTGATCATAAGTTTGTCTTTCAGTACTATAAAATATAATGGGCTTGATTTTGCTTTCAATTATTGCGCTGTGAATCAAGAGTGATTCCAAGAGTGTGTGTGTGTGTCTGTGTGTGTGTGTGTGTGTGTGTTTTGGATACTGATATACCCTTGTAATGACAGTTTTTTGCTGCCTTGTATTTTACACTGCTGAGAGGCAGACGTTATCACTACAGGAGAGTATTTAGAACAATATATATATCTATTTTAAAAGACATTTTAATTTATTGCACATCAGCAAAAAGTGTTCAAACACTTGCAAGATTTACTAATTTATCAGAAAAACAATGACAAACACCCTCATAAATTGCTGAAAAAGGCTGTAAAGCTTGTGTTACTATTCTGTGTGGCTTTGTGGATATCCAAGTATTATAAATAAATAAAAAGGCACCTGAACTGTTGACAGTATAGGGTGAAATCTGTATCTTGAGGTTCAGGTGGCATGTTCTAAGCCACTCAGAGAGCTTCACTCTTGTGGCTACACACACATGCAGAGAGACCGATGCACACGCACACACAATCGTGGGAATACTTAAATATTCTTATGTAGCTTCCTGCATAAAACGTGCTACCACTGCCAGTGCTTAAACCAGTGCCACTGAGTTCAGCCTTTGTTCCAGCCACTCTCTCATCTCCTGTCATTCACCCTCATAGATTCTTTATGCTGATAATTCTGCATTACTCCACTACTCCTTTGTACCCCTTACCCGCCAGCAGCTTCCCTCATGCTGCCAAGTCTCTGATCCCATACCTCATAAAATCATGCTTCAGAATCATCCTCAAAACCCATCATCGGACATGCTCCACCCCCCGCCCCCCTTTCCACAGCAACCCTCATTAGATCTAAATCTAATTTAAAAGGAATCTAACATGATATAGACCCCTCTCTTTCCCTCTAGTGTTACTTCGCTCTGTTTCCTGTATGTAGCTAAGACTGTAAACTACTCAGGACAGGGACTACATTTGTTTTCTCTGCATCCAGTGCTACTCGTACCTGTGGCACCATAAATAATACATGCCACCAGTTCCCTCTCCTGGTGCTATAGGCTTTTTTTGGCGGAACTCCCTTTGCAGGTTTATG